CAGAAATGTATTGGCTCACAGTTCTGGAGCCTGGGAAGTCTTAAGATCTGGCACGGGCCTTCTTGCTGCATCATCCCATGGCTGAAGGATGAAGGGCAAGAGGAGGCTGAACTGATCCCTGTATAGGGCACCAATCCCACCCATGAAGGTGGTGCCCTCATGGCCTGATCACCTTTAAAGGTCCCACCTCTCAATACTGTTCCAATGACAGTTAGATTTCCACATGAGTTTTGGGGGGACAAACGTCAAACCAGAGCAGAAACTAACGCTTAAAGAACCACAGAAAAGCCAACGTCTTCCAAATGATTTTCCTCCTGTACACTCTTAAAATGCTGTGGTTTGTGTTAGAAAGGACCATTACCATATTTTATATCCTGCCCTGAAACTTTGGAGACACAATGGCACTTCATCTAATCAAAACCACTCTGAAGTTTGATAAAACTTAGACAGTTGCAACTACCAATAATAAACCTTTTATGTACAATAATCAGAGTAATTCATGGGTGATTTTAAGGATGAATGTTTCTGTAGGGAGAGAAACATTGCTTTAGAAATTGAAGGGAATTGCAGAGTGTTTAATATTTTGACGAGAGTGTTTTCTAACTAACAGAGGGAAAAAATTGAGCTCCTTTATATGATTGAATGCATTTCAGGCTATTTGAAGTGAAATCAAGTCAAAAACATTATCCAAAGAAAACATCAAGTTATTGAAAGGTAAATCCATTAGGAATATCTAAAATCAGCAAGAAAAAAGGAGAACTTAGTACTTATGTATGTAAGAAGCTTGACATCACTTGATTATTAGAAGATCCAAAATGAGAATAACTATGGTACCCTAGCAACTAAAATTGTTTGAATATATTTGCCTAATTCCCAATGTTAGGGGCCAACTTCACTACTCTCTGGGCTTTAGTTTTCTTATCTGCAAAATAAGTCAGGGGATTGAGGGACAGGTTGGACTTAGAAAACCTCTAAAGCACATTTCCCCTCTAAGACTGGAATCATTTAGAAGATGTAGAATTTAGTGGAATTCTTATGCGTGTCTCTTATGCTTGTGAACTTTTACATGTAGGTTCAAAGGAAAGTGAGGTACATGGAGAGATACATTCCCTGCTTTGAGAATGTGCCTGAAATTTACCCAAAGAACACTGTGAGAATGTAGTTGGATTTTCACGTAGACATTGTTTGCTTCACCGTGCTTTTCCAATGTCTGGGAGGTTGAAGGCAAATTGCCATCGGGATTACTGTGATTCGACGTTTGCTTTTCCAGATCCATGACCGTGGGCATAACCTGGCCTTTCCTCCTTCTGCTCCACAGCATGTTCCTTTCTCCGCCTCATATGAGTCCTTTGCTGCTTCTCTGTTTGCAACGGGATCATTCTTGGCTTCGGGCCCTTGTCCATCCTGTGGCTCCAGTCATATCTCTCTGGCCTATCAAAATTCTATTGATCCATTTTAAGCTTGAGTTTCTCCTTCGTAAAAAATACAGCCAATACTGATCTCTTCCTTTGCTCCTGTTTCACAGGATTTAGCTCTGAATTTTATATTGCCTTATTGTTTTACAATTTATTTCCTCTTGTTTTCCCCCAATTAGTTGTAGGTTCCTTGAATAGAGGGTCCTTCTTTAATCCATTATAATATATCTTATGTAGTTTATAGCAGAGAATTTGGCTATTTTTTGATGCTCTTTGGAGACTCTTTTTCAGAGTTCTGAAAGCCAAACGGCATTCTGAAATCTCAGTCTTTCAAAGCTGTCAGCCACTGGTATGGAAGGTAATGGTCAATTCAAATGATAGTACATTCTAATGCAGTTTTCTATGTATCACTTTATGATAAAAAGAATGCCAGTTTTTGTCAGACACTTGTCTTAGGTCCATCAATGTACAGCTGTCCTTTATGTTCTCCTTGTGTCATGGGAGCCCAGCTTATGTTAGAGTTGACACCCTTGAGAAAGGAAGAAAGAAGGAAAGAACATCTTCTGCCTGTGTGGGGACAGGGTTGTAGCAGAGGTGGTGAAATATGTTCCCGTACCCACGAGGCTTCTTTTCTTTCTTTCTTACACCGCGAGAAGATTCTACCAATTTTTTTCTAATAATCAACTATGACTGGGCCATGGAGTGTGATGTGACTTTTTTTAAAGTGTGGTGTTTCTTATACTTTATCCTATTCTGTTTTATTTAAAAATAGTTTACATATTTTTTATCCCATTACTGGTTATATACACTAGTCAGGCTCAGCTGACCTAGGGTGTCATAACAAATAAACCTTGAAATCCCAAGGACTTAACAAAACAAATATTTTTTTTTCCTTGTGTCACAGTCGGAAGATTGGGTGGGTTCCCGTCCACCCCTCTGGCTTCTCCTACAGGGACTCAGGGACTCAGGACTCAGGGCTGATCTGACAATATATTCCAGAAAAATGTTTGCCTATTCTACCCTCATTAAAGGGCATAATCAGTTTCTTGTTGAATAAAACAAAATGACTTGAGTCCTTTTATGCATGCAGATCAGATTCTTCCTGCGCCCCAATCCCGAAGATTTTTTTTGTTTTTAAGTATCCATTAATTGTTAAATAATAATTGCAGCAGAAGCTAAGAGCCTGGAACAATTAATGGGACCTTCTGGACCACAACACAAAGGCCTGTAATCCTAAAAGGGAATTTGTATTCTGAGAAATCTGTTAAGATTTGCGATAACTGGCCTCCTCTTCATTCCAACTCTAGAACAGTGCCTGACAAAACTCAGTGACACAGGAAATATTTGTTGAATGAACCAATTCAAAACTTTTCTTACCTTTGCCTTCACTGTAAAGCTAATTTTTTTCATTATTTTACCTGTTTAAAAATATTCCCTATCTCTTCCCGTCCTGGCCCATATTTGCAGTACCTGCTTTGGAATGAAGATTTGAACTTGATCTGCAAGTCCAAATTCAACATTAAACATAGGAGTTAGAGAATATTTCCCAAACTCAAGAACTTGCCCCCCTTTTTTTCTGAATTTACAAAATACTTTTGTAATTTAAGTAGAGACTTAGTGAAAGCATCAGACATGTAAACTGCAAAGATTTAAAAAGAGAGAAATAGATTAAAGAGACTAAAGATAGTCACTGAATTAAAACAAATTCCATTCAGTGGCATTTGTCAAATATCACCTGAATCACTCTGTCTGGAGTCTTTTCAGCTGCTTTATGTATCACAGCCTTAGAGATAGTGCAGTATGGGGCAATAAAGGTGTTAGGCATAAATTGTGAACAAAGGAGAAAGGAATTTTATTTTTTCATGGTTTAAATAGAATATTGCTGATCAATTTTTCACTTGGATGACCCTTATCAAGTGGTTGTTTTTCTAGAGGAGAAAGCAGGGTTTGCAAATGGTATAAATCAGGCAATCTACATTCACATCTTGATGGTCTGCAGATCACTTACTTTCATTTGCTAGAGTAAAGCAGACTCATGAAATCAATACTCTTGCTGTTCATTTATGCTGTGTACTTTTTTTCCTCTTTGGAAGAGTCCATAAAGCAGAGTTTTAACATTTTATTAAGCTAAAAAATATGAGAGGGTATCTCTAGCAAATGTCTTCAATTTTCTTTGCCTGTGTTTCTATCTTCTTATATGAGGCTGATCTTCTCCATTGATGGGAGGTCAGTGGATCATTATGTTAGTGTCAGCGATGGGGACTTTCTGCAAACAGTTTATGAAAACAGGTGAGCTGTAGCCTGGTCAGAGATGAGCTTAATTGTTACATTTGTAAATTAAGGACTGACACTTCTTATGTATTTTAGAAAATAAAAAAGGTAACCTTGTTGCTTTGGAGGTCACAAAAATGAAATTATCTACACATATACACAATTTCCACATGAAAATAATATAGAGTTTCCATGATGATTCCAGATCAGGGTATTAATTTGAATCAAGATCCATCCCAATCACAAGTTGTTAGGGGCCACAAACACTTGCCTCGTAAACGCACTACCATCTTGCCTCTTGCTCTTCTGTTTTTCTGAGGCTGAAGAATGGGAACCCTGAGGAGGTTCTGCTGTTTTCATATTCACTTTGGAAATATGCTCTGGAGGGATTCTATTGTCATGTACCTTTCACTGTACTTGAAATCTGTTTGTTCTTGTGTAATAAATGAATCGCTGCTATTTACTATATGATGCGCTTGAATATTTTCACTTTAATGAAGAAGGGTTACTCTCAGATTGTTCCCCAAAATGAAACTCCACTTTCCTTAATGTGTGACCCTCTTCCTGACCTATAGTTAGGAATTTTAGAGTTTCAGTACAGAGCAGAAACTAAGCATGATGCTGACTCTGAGCTTTCAGCACACACCTGAGCTTGTGAAGAATTGAAAACAAGAGTCAATTTCCGATCTGCCCCTGGCTTACCTAAAGATTTGAGGAAAACTTGGGTCTCTGTCACACTCAGCCAAAATCAAAATCAAAATTCAGCCTAACTCTAAATATTTAGTGCTTTCACAACTCTTCTCTGAATGATAGTCTTAATATTTATAGGTTTGTGAGAAGAAAAAATGTTGCTGTTAACACTTAAAATATTTATTGGGAAAATGAAGGGAACTGGATATTTGAAATTTTGTTTTCTATTTTTTAATAGGGACTGGTAATTTATTTTAGTTATAGTTAACATTACAAAACAGTCTTGTGTGTGAATCAACTCACTGAAAACTGAAAAGGCACAAATAAGGACAAAAGATGGAATAATTTCCTTTAAGATGCTTAATGTTCTGAGGGCTGGTTGGTGTGCAAAAGCCTGCAGTCTCACCACTTGTAAATTTTTCTAGTACTTCTTAATACCGTAAAATTGTTCAAAACTGTGGTTTCAACGGTTTCTGTTCTTGTTTTGGGGGGAATTTTTTTTTTCTTTTTTTAAATAGCAGACTAAATCACTACCTGATTTGAATAAATCAAGCCAGAAATATCCTGACAGTGTACCAAACAAGACCTGTGTGTATAATGTGAGTTCTTTCTTTTTAATTTTAGAATCAACCTTGTCCTATGTTAGGCAGCTGGAGGCAAGAGTAAGACAGCTGGAGGAAGAAAATCGCATGCTGCCCCAGGTGGGTGACTTCCAGAAGCTCATAGCTAGTCAGTGTCATTTGAGTTGTAGCATTTTATTTGGAATTTAAAATCTCAATTACATTTTCTCCTTTAAATGACAGACATCATTTTGTAAATAGTCATTCATCAATGTAGAGTGTGATTATGTTCCATGATGGCCATCATATTATTCAGATTTCTAAGTGTTTATACTAAAGGATGCAGATGTCTGAAATAAGAATGTGAAGTAATTTGGAAAGGAAGAAGAGCAGAAAGAGAAAATGAAGAGAGGTAGAAAATAAAGACACTCTAATAGTACTACTCTTGTACATCATGCATGTAGTTGGTGGATATAGGGACAGTACTCTTATTTAAATTGAAAATTTGCCAATTTATGAACTGGGTATAACATAGGTAGTTTGAAGGCTTCATATTTTATATTTTCACTCTATATATTTCATATTTTAACTAAGTCCATACTTCCTAACTGTAACTATATCACAAACTTTGTGATATAGTTGAACTCTTTCAGTGTGACCAACCGATGACAGTAATTGACAGTTTTTACTTTGGGACTTCTTTTCCTTTTGAATATAAAGTGGTACTTTTTCTGGCACATTTAATGTCTTGCCATATATTTCACTTATAAAATTGTTTCTGCGAGCTAACTTGTTGGTCTTTTGAGGTGGTAGTTTTCAGAAAATATGTTTTAATAATTTTACAAAAAGAGGTTTTCCAATCAGTCACTAGGATGCTTTCTACATTCTGGTGATTAGTTTTATTTCATAAGGGATTAAGGCAAAATTACACCTGAAACAACTAAACAGTAGTTTAAATAAAAAGACAAAGATTGGTTGTGTTTCAGGAGAAGAGATTTAAACATTAATGCAAAGACTCTTTGGAAAGACATTATAGGTCTTCAATCTTGTTTTGTTTCTAAACTACTTTTGCTATTAATGATTATTTGAGCTATCAAGTACTGCACTTAAGAATGCCTTTCTCTTTCCTCCATTGGCCAACAATCTGCCCAGAAATCATGAGATTAAATGAAACAAATCTACACTAGTCCTCCCTTATTCATGGGGCATATGTTCCAAGACCCTATGTGGATGTGTGAAACTGTAGACAGGACTGAACCCTATATATAATAAGGTTT